ATTGATACATATATTTTTATCTTATATCAATGGACCAGATATTRGCTTAATCCAATCCAATCTAATATAAATTTGTTACGAACTGACCGGGTCCAATCTAATCTAATAAATATTTTGGACCGAATTGATCCAATCCAATATATCTTGTTGGTGCATTCAATATGTTCGAATTGATTTTGGACTAGATGGGGTCCAAACCAAAACCAGTTTATTGACAACCTTAATGACCACCAACAATTGAAATCTTGATTTGCCATGGGAGAATATATAACAATTGATGGAGGGTGATTTGGCCCGACCTCGTAGCACGGGTACACATGGGCATGACCTTGCTCAAGCGATGACTCAACGTGACAGCACAACAAGCGCAATTGCAACTCGGTGGGAAGGGCTCACCGAGTTTAGTCTGGCAACTCGGCGGGTTAGGCTACTCGCCGAGAGCCGCCTGGCTTGCACCTCCTTCCCAAGGCTGAGGCACTCCGAGCTACCTCCGAGCTCGGGGCCCCCTGACCTTTCCTAATGCCCGAGCTCCTCCTAGTGGATTTTAGGCCACTCCCAAACAGGAACACCCCGATCCACCTCTAGATACCCCGAGGTAGAGACACCTCGAGCTAGACAGCTCGGTGTAGCTTGCCACAGGCAGCTCGCCACTTGCAGGGTAGCTCGGTACAGGGTAGCTCACAGAAGAGCAGCTCGACACATCACAGGAAGGCCTCCTGCCCGACCACCGTACCTAACAAACCTGGAGACTGCAACCACGTCTCTCGTTAGACAGTGTTGTGCCCGCCACCTTTAGAAGGTGTCTTACACCTGACAGGTACGTACCTTGCAACGACGGCCCCGCGCGTGCCACCTCAGCCCTAGCTGTAACGSCTGCGGCAGGACGACAGTGGCGGTTATACTTGCCTTGTCAGAGGCAGGTGGGCCTGATTCGACAAAATTCTTTTATAAGTAACCCAATCCCAAAGGACAGAGGTACTAATACTCGCGCTATCTGCACTCTTAGCTTTCTTCCTCTCTTTACATCTGTCACAGAACTCTAACTTAAGCGTCGGAGTGTTCCCGCCGGRTAATCCCCCGGGGATCCCTCTTCTTCTCYATCTCAGGTACCTTTCAAGAGCTACGCAAGTGCCAGTTAGGAGTGACCGGATTGCGCACCATCAACAATATTCTACAGGAATAGTGAAATGTATATTTGCTTCCTACATGACTAATCACATTAAGACTATTTACCCATCAGCAGTGCACATGGGAAACTATGTTCCAAAAGTTTATGCATGCAAAATGCAGTTTCTTATTAAAAACTATTAATATGACATTTTTTTCCTTTTTTCTTCATGATAATACAACCACAAATTAAGCTAAACTACTTTGAAATTGAAAATGAATAAAGCTACTTTTATAGGTAGAATCTTGATTAATTTTAAATAAAATATAATCTGTATTGAGTCAGGCAGAATCTAAGGGACCTCGTTTATATTYAAGGAGGAAACTAATGCTTACTTGCAGCATAAAAAGAGAAGCTAATGTTTGCTTGCAGAATTGAAAGTGAAGGGAAGTAATCCTTGAACAAGATGTAGTACCCAGTAAGGGAGCATCACCCATTGGTTAGAGTATGAATGTTGACACCAACAATTTTTAAATCTTATAACACAACCCAAAAAAAAAAAAGGTTTTTCCCTAAAGTTCCCCTGCTTTGCCAGCATATCAGCCACATGATTGGCTGACGTTACAGACTTGGATGTTACTCAAGCTTCCCTTGCTAGGCAAGGTATTTCCCTCATTTGTTGTCTAATGGTCCATATGCCTAAGCTTTTTGTCTGCAACCATCTTATTAACAGTTTAGAGTCTCCTTCCACTCAAGGTTTTGAAAGCCCCCTCAGAGAATTTCCTGCACCTATAGAGCCAGAGTAAAGTGCTATCAGCTTGCCCTCCCATCTCTGAAAACTCCCCCAGCTCTAGTGGGTCTTGGATTACCCAAGAAAGTACAACTATAACAGATGTACTGGTTGAGAAATTTGCGGACAGGGTTACAGGAAACTTTACTGATTGAGACTTCTAAGGGGTAGTCATACAATGGAATGAGGAGGTAGTAAAAGCAAGTAGATCCCCTCTAACAAGATGCACGAAAATATCAAAAGTAGCCATGCCATAATAATTGATGTTGGTTTCTACAGAAAAAGTAATACAAACTTTATAAACAACGAAAAATAGAGAATTTTGAGCAATTAATATGAAGGACAAATTTGAAAAATAAATCAATCTCAAAATAGAGATTGAAAGGGTTTGGTCTGATGATTCATAAGAGAAAATTTAAAAAACAAACATTTTGGTCAAAATAACTAAGGCGATGACTTTTAATTTTTAAGTTAGATATCCAATTGGATCAAATTGGGTGGGATATCTGTAATCCAGATTTAATGAGTTAATATTTGGATTGAAATCATATCTTGTCCTTGTAAATAGATTGATTAATCACCTTTGACTAATTCAAATTCGAATTCATAGCGAACAAATTTACCATCCTGTATTTTGGAAACCCCTGAAATTTCATTTACGATAAAACTCCATAAGCATTTAGATTCTAACACCTTACCCCCACTGTTAACCGGAGGGTGTTAATATATTAACAGTCCTTTTCCAGATTTATATGAACAAAGGATGTATTTCAAAATGACAATAATAGGTAGGGCAAAGCGAAACAAAGCCCTCGCCAAAAAAAAGCAAAAGATTTATACGAATATTGGGAACACCCATGAATAATAACATGTTGATGTACGTGTGAGGTCGGTGTGAGGCACCCTGAGTGAGGAGCGGATCCCCCTTTTAATATCCAAAATCCCTCATGAATCTTGGTTCAACAACTGCTTTCCCTCATATTACACAATCTCTTGTGATATCAATGCACCATTATCCAATAATTTTGAATTTGCTCCTTCTGTCTGGACAAGTAGCTTGGTCTGGAATGTCCATTAATCTAAAATCATAAATAACAAAACCAATAGCTTACATGCTAATGTAGCAGCATCATCCTGCCTAAAGCTAAAATTTGGCTACTAAACATTGGTCTGAAATGTATTATAGTTCACATTGCCCACAAAAACATACTTGTAGCACATGAAACTCATGTCATGAACTAAAATTATTCAGCCTAAACCTAAAACCTGGGTCGCGATTAACTGAATTATGAATTTAAGACATACAAAATTATATTTTATTGGCTCAAGACAAACCCAAAAACCCAAACCACGAATTTAAAGGATTTTGAATGACCCAAAAGTGGAATTCCGTAACTATGACCCATGTGTGGATCATGATCAAAGAAACATATGACATGTGTTTTAACAGAACATTAGATATTAGATTATTATTAGACACCACTAAGTTACTTGTGCAAAAGCCAAAAATAATCTTAATTCTCCATTCTAAATCAAAAGCTTAATCAATCTACTGTATAGCTAAAAAAATCTACCTCACAGCCTAATCTATCCATATGTTACACCAGAGCATACATAACCCAACTCGAGATGGATTTACCAAAATATAATAATCAATGGTGTGACTTTTACTTTTATTACACGTCCATTTGTATATCTTCAAGGAGTTCCTAGTTGGATGCAAAATTCTGGTAGGCTAAACATTGCTTGTTGTTCACCCCCATCTGTGTTTCTTTTATTTGGATCAGGAAATAAAGAAAAGAGAAATAAACAGAAAACAACTAATCTAATGAGCATCTATTATAAGTAACAACATATAAGATCATAATATGTTCCCCTTTGATGTATACAAAAAATACAGATGTATATCTTTGTTTGGAAAGATAATAAAGAGGATATATAATGAGTCACCATTTTAACCGCTGATAATGAGTGAGAGAGAGTAAGACAGTTAAAAGAAAGTTCTAAAGACATGTTCATCATCATTCTTGTAAACTAAAGAGAGGTATACAAATTTATACAAATTATAGGGAGTAGCAAATAAAATAAATTAAAAAAATACAGAGATGGAAAAGAGAAAGAAGCCTTCTCAATTGCCTTCGTTCATTGTGAGGCCCCATCCTCTGAACTATGATGCCTATTGCAAATCAGACAACTACAGAACACCCAGTCTAACCAAGTTTGATATCTTCACTAAATAGGAAATCCTTGTTGTTTGTGAATAACATGTCAGACCCAATTTCAGCATGTTCTCTCTTTCATGCCATTAAGCTGCTCACAAAGGTCATCAAGCTAATGCTGCATGCTGGATAGAACTTCATATCTGAAAAACCAGATGAAACATCAAARTCGGATGTCAGAGCTTCTTTGTTTCTAGAATAAAATTCAGAAAAGCAAACTGGAACATCTCCACCACCAAACCCAAACACCACTAAACCTACAGCAACAAACCAAAAAGGAATGAGAAAACAAATATGAAAAAATAAAAAAAAAACTAAAACAAAATAGTGCTTCAGTTGAAACATGGGTCGCGATCATCTTGAAGGCCGACAAATACAGAGGTGAGAAAATAAATAAGAGAGTTTTCAAAAAGAGAAAGATTGTGATAGATTGAGAAGAAAACAATGACATGGGTCAGAGAGGCGAGAGATAGAAGAGCTGAGTAGACATTACACTCAACAGGACAATAGAGTGAGATAGGGAGGGGATAGAATTTTCTAGACAGTTTAGCACAGAGAAGGATAAACACGTACCATATCATGCAATAAAATATGTATGATGCACAGGCACGTATTGCACATGCGATCAAATATCCTATTTCCCTTATTCATATCCGAGTTCACCTGATAATTCAACATCACACATTCGAGTGCGAATACGTTGGAATCTACAGTAAGATTCCATTTTCTTAAATGAAAGGGTGCCACGAATCACCCAATCGTATTAATATATATATTAGATTTCGCTCAAATTAGCGAAACAGTTTTATTAACTCAGTCCACTTCAAGCTTCGGAAGTTTAATCTTATTTCTTTCAGTGATTCAAATTCATGAGGATTTTTAAATGCTTATGTAAATGGGATGAAGGTAAGTTTGATTATCGACAGAGTTTCAGTATGAATAAAAAAGTTAATAAAAAACATGTCTCCAATCATCCAATTGTTTATTTCTTCCAATAAACAATGTTTTCCTAGAAAGGAAAACAAAACTAGAAACGACACAAGTCATTTAGTGCTTATCCAGTATCCCAGCCTCTTGGTAGCTTCTAACAGAATCAGAAAGGGTCTCCTCCAATGGTCTGTATTTCCACCCCAATTTCTGTAATTTCTCAGAACTATAGGTTTCTTCTGCCATGATCTCCTCAAAACTGCAAAATGAACAATACGATTAGAAGAAGAAGAAGAGATTTCTGAAATTTGAGAGGCCAATCATGTAAACAAAAGAGGGTTTTGTTGAATGTCTGATTTTGTTTTTCAAAACAAAAAACAACTGCAACACGAACAAAACTAAGAAGATTTTGCTGATGTGAAAATTTTGTTTTGAAAAACAAAATCATACATATTTGCTAAGGATGCTGGTTCAGTTTTCAAACCAATAGCATGAAGATCTTAAGTGGAACAAAAGAAAAATCTAGCAGAGTAAAATACCAATCAGCTGACAATATGGCAGATTGACTGCCATATTCTAATAACAAAATTGGCAAACACTACTGACTAGGGGGATGATTGAAACCGTGGCCGTTTTTCTGAAAAAGAGTGTCACGTCAGATGTGTTTCAACAAACACCCATATACATAATTGGAAAAACGCTTGAACCATGGACACATTTCATGCACCGGTGAACCATTGTCCCCAACGGTTGACTGATTAGTGATTACATGTATCCTATGTCATGCTTATCTGTCAGCATATACATGAAAAACGGTGATGAAAATCACCTTACCAAACAGTATAATGTTACTGCCTACGTGACAGAAACACTCTCAAACAAAATCAAAACATTTTTTATGAAAAACAGGTCTTGAAAGCATAGACGTTTTTTCTTAAAAATTGGTCCCAAAAAACACCTGCGTTTCCAAACACTATCTAGATTGAAATACTTACTTCTTTGGATAGTTGTAGTCGGGATACATGATCCTTAACTTCTCGATCAGGTCCTTTGTTCTGATCGTATATGCTAGACATATGTATCTTCCTTCTGCTTCAGGCTTCTCATATGCCAGTAGAAGTGCTTCAGCTACATCACGGACATCTACGATTATACAGATTTTGTTCTCCAATGATTCAAATCCCTCTGTTTGGTTTTGGACACAATAGAAGAAATTGTACTTAGAAATGGAAAAAAAAGAAAAGAAAAATTGAAGTCCATAAATTCCATGGAAGTTCATTTTCCCGTTCTTTTTATTTCAAATAATTACAAGATACTAAAAAGTTTCAGTTGTACTTGGAAAGAAAAAAAGCGTTTGAAAGATAATATGCCTCCTCCCTTCTTGATTGTATTTATTCTGTTTACATATTGATTGTTACAACAGACTGCACACTTGCTTTTGTTATGCTACAACAAATTGTTCAACTTGCTTTTTGTGAAGAAACTATCTGATGCACCATATTGCTGTAGTTCCTATTGTATTTTATCTCTTATTTTATTATTTGTTCTTCAGCTCTGTAAGGGCCTCTCTGTAAATTCTCTAATTTCATTTTCTATATAAAGGACCCTTGGGATAGGGTTGAAGTCCATTTTCTTCACCCCAGAATTCTGTTTTCTTCTCTGGGTTCGTTGGCATGGTATCAAAGCAAGCTGCTCTGTAATTTCTGTTCTTTCTTTTCTTTTCTTTCTCTTTGGCCATATAGAGGGTATTGTCTTCTGGATGTTTCGACTGGTGTTAGGGCTGTGCTCTTCAACCCTAATCCTTGTTCTTTGTGGAGGTTTCGGTCTGGTGTTAGGGCTGTCCTCATATCTGTTTTTTTCTCTCAGAAAATCCATAGGATCTGAAAAGTCTTGGGGGAGTTCTGACCACCTCTCCTGGGTGGCAGGAGCCTTTCTTTCTCCCACTGTGAACTGGTTCCTCCAGGGTGGCAGCAACTTGGCCTCTTAAGGTTCAGTTTTGAACAGTAGTAGACTAAGAAATCTCAACAGTTTGGCTTCTTTCTCCTTCAACAGCAGCTGTTTTTGAACATTTTTTTGTTTCTTATGCTTCAAACTGAGGAACTTCAATAGACATAAGGTTTCCTCTTAAAGCTACTTTGGAAAACTTCTCATTTCAGGTTGTTGTATCTCACTATTTTCTTAATCGACTATTGTCCTAGGGTATTTTCTTCTCTCGATTATCAGTTCTTGGAACCCTAGTTCGTGCTGCCCTAGTTTTGTGTTGTTTTGGACCATTTATTAGAGGATTTTGATTCTTCTGTAAAGTTTTATTGCTGAAGTTTCTCAGGATTGGCTGAAGTAATTCACTGCCTAATTCGTTGCTGATTTAAGTGYACCGATTAACATTGCACACATCAGTTTTGCTATCATTTTCCCTTGTTTGATTTTGCTTATGATGGCTGAAAAGATTAACTTTCTCCCTGTAAAATTTGATAGAACTAACTACAATATGTGGAACTAACTACATAGAGTCAGCCTTAGAGATTACCTTACATAAGACCTTATCTATCAAAGTGAATAGAAAGGGAGAGAGTGGATCACCTTGTCTATAACCTCGGAGGCCCTCAATGAAATCAACTGCCAACCCGTTAACTATAACAAAGAAGTGGCTTGCTTGCAAACAACTAAATGGATGGGAGATCCATCATATGGATGGCTGAACCCTATAGGAAGATTGGGCGAAATTTCAAAATATTCTCTCTTTCCATTTGGGAATCGCATTCCTTATTTTAGAAAAATGCATTTTCAATGATCAATCTTAAACTAAATCGGACCAGATTTGAAACCAAAAAGGGAGGAAAGGGATATACTTGATACAGAGTAGCAATAACTCCCAATGAAAGTGTTCACGCCCAAGGAGAAAACCAAAACCCGCTTCCCCTGAAGATGACACAGTGTGTGGTGAAGTAGGATTAGCAAGACGACTCTTCAACAAGAACCGAATTCTTTAGCAAGAATGGAGTAGAGGGCTGGTGAGCACGACTTCAGATTGTTTCTTCTACCAAGAAGCAATATCAAGAACAATTCTTGATCACTCCCATAAGACGACACTCTACAGTTTGCTATGTCTTGTATGGTATCTTTTGCATGTCCACCCTGCTCTCTTATTTATAGCCTTAAAGACACAACCTTCTAATCTGATTAGGAGTTTCCTGATCCAAATCTTTATTTGGATCTGGACTCCCATCAGGTATTACCCTCAATGGTCTTACACTTAACCTCTCAACCCATAATGATCAAACATTGCCCGACAAGAGAGAACCTCTCCCTCGACTACAAGGAACAATACTGCACTCTCTACTCACATGGATCCTGGGAATTAAAACCTTTTGCAAACATTTTGAAACATATATATTTATATATATGTATATCTTTATATAAATATCTTTTGCAAAAACAAATTTCAACAGTTGAAATCAACTACCGTCAGTTTTAGGTTTCCATCAGAGAGAATGCACCCCCGATCATTCACTTTATCCAATAAAGGGGTTGATCCTGTCACTATGATCACCCTCTCAGATGAATTCTCAAGCTGTCATAACATACCCAGGTTTTGACCCCCTCTAAGGATCTCACTGATTGGCATATCAAAAACAGCCCAATCTGACACCTGGTGCAGTACCATAATCGGGTCTAGGGGTCAGGTGTAACATTCCAGTTTTACCCATCTATCTCCAAGGTCTAGGGCAATACTGGAATTTCGGTCCGGTTCAGGGCTTCAAGAAAACCCACACTACATGTACCTCAAGTCTCACCCTAGCAGCTGAAACAAGCCACCCCAACCAACTTGGCGGTACATCAGTGTCAGCCTTGGCAGGATTAATCTCCCTAGATCTATCCAACGGATGTGAAGATTATAAATTAACACGAGTCTCATAAGTGTCCAGTTTAAGGGTATTACACAGAAACACACTACAATGACATGAATCAATTATGTATTTTATTCATTTACAATAAATGTCAAAAGGTACATCAATCTGATTGGAGCTAAGGGCATAATTGTCTAACAACAACCTTTGATCCATTTACACCATAGAACCCCAAAGCCACACCTCCTCATAATATTGATAAAAAAAGCCCAATCCACTAAATCGTAAGCTTTCTCCAAATCCAACTTTATTGTTATTTCCTTCTTCAACCTTTTTTGAGCCTCCACACACTCATTTGCAACTAGAATCTAATTAACTATATCATCAATACAAACATCCCTTAGAGAGGCACTAGGTGTAACCTCTCCAACATAATCAACGCATTTACAACCTAAATTAGGTCCCAAACAAATGGTCCCTATTCATCCCTTGCTTAGAAAGGGTATCAACAAAGGCATTGGCAGTCCTCSATCACCTCTTGTATTCTCAATTCATGTTTATTGTCGGCCACTTAAATTTCATCTCATTTCAGTAGCCCTAACTTACAAACTCCAATTCCTTCAACCACCCCACCATCACGTTATTACCACCTTTATTTATCACATTTTCCAAATCTTTCTCATTCTGAGAAATAATTTTTTAATTCCCTCATTTTCTTCTTTGGCAGAGTCGGTTTTAGATGCAATTTTGTTTTATTTCCGATTTGCAATTGTTCTAAGTACTCCTAAATAGGTTTACTATTTCAATAAAATTATATTTATTGTTCTTAGCATTAATGGTAAACTTTGGCAGTGCATAGTCTCTCTCCCTCTCTTCTTCTCCCCTCAGATCACAAAGACAAATTAAAATCACAAAGAGACATGTTCACAACTTGCTACACCGGTTGTACTAAAAATTATTGAATGTATGTTCATCAACCAATTTGGAGTCATTGAGAATCATCATCTTTGCTGTTCTTAAGCACATTTCTTTGTATGATTCCATGATGTTAGGACAACATTAGTGTATGCATTCTTTGTATAGAAAATTTATGCTCACATTTCTTTTAAGCTCAACTCCCTAGAGTGAAACGTTGTAACTCATGTAAACATATATGCCTCCACAAAGACAAACTACATGGATATATGCATAAAACAAATGAAAAGAAAGATAGTGAAAGTACAAGAAGAGACCTTTCAAAAGATTGATGAGAACCAAGCTGCTGAAATTAATTGTTGGCTGCAATATTGGTCCAAGAACAAGACCTGGACAGACTGTCACAATGTTGAGACCATTCTGTTTTGCATACTCTAAAGCCTGACTTTCTGCTAAAGTTTTGGAAAGGCAATAAAAGTTCTGGCATGAACATGAAACAATGCAAGCTTAGATTTCATAAAATCCTTCCAAATGGTCTACACTCAAATTATATTACTGAAAGAACAAACATACAGTCTGCATTTCTACTTTAGTATTAATGAAGCAGAATAAATACTCAGCGTTACCATTAAATGTAAAAAGGAAAATCTAAAGATAAAATCATGATCATGAGAATGTCGTCAAATGAGGTCATACATAAAGATGGTCCCATCCGCATTACATGTCAAGTTCAAAAACTTGGTCCCAATCACAACTCAACCGAGAACATGAAAAGCCCAAGAGAAAGACAAGACTATTCAAATTCTATATACTCAGGCACCTTAATGGCTTAATCAACTAATCAGTATAGTTGGATTGAGAATTAATTGGGTTTAACATACCAAAACCCTCAAGCCATTTCTTGTCCCTATTAGAATATTTAAATTCTGCGAAAACATGGGCGAGGAAATGGATGCAGAAAGTTGGGGGTGTTGCAAGCAAGCTCCTGTTATCAAGCTAGTGTGTGCTAGCACATCCATGGATGATACAAAACTATTATTGTGCTATCATGAAATCACATGGAGGCCCTGAAACATGGAGAATGCTAGCCTAGGCTTCTGATCTGAGCAACAAACAACTATATGAAAGTTGATAAGCTCAAACCATTGCATCAAATGGGAAAAGTAAAGTGTGCACCGCAACACACATCTTTTTATCCATCCATTCCTTGCTCAGATGTGTTAATGAAGATGGACTAATTAAACATGTGCAAGTGATTTCGAAACATTATTAGTGTCACACTATCACCTCTTAAGATTTTAAGCATGGAATAATTAAATGAAAAATCAACAAATGTAAACTTGATTTTGCCACAACAGAAACCATCAAACATGCTTCGGGTAATACATTCTAGGCAAAAGAGAAAGGATGACTAATTTTGTTTCTCTCATTCAATTATAGCATATTTTATTCATGTTATGAATATGCGGTATAGATGCAGATTTGAGCCTCCCCTATTCAGTACTTAGGCGTAGGGATCAACTGCTAGATGGCTTGAGTACAATTTGTCCATCAAAATAAKGTTAGCACATGGCAGAATGGTAATAATTTTTATATGCCTCAGGTTGTTCTTGTTAGAAAGTGTATGCCCTTAGCTTCAATCAAATTGATGTATAAATACATTTATTGTAAATAAATAAAGGTACATTTTTATTTATGTTGATATTGGTATGTTTCTGTGAAATTACACCTTAAACTAGACATTTATGAGACTTGTGTTATCTTAAAATATTCTCAGCTGTTAGATAGACTTGGGGAGTTTATCCTGCTAAGGTTGACATTGATGTACTGCCAAAAGAAGTTGGGGCATCTTGTCTCAAATGCTAAGGTTAGACCCATAGCACATACAATATGTGTTTGGTTGAAGCACTGAACTCAGACCATTTTCCCTTTATGCCCTGGACCTTGGAGATTGATGGGCAAAACTAGTAAGTCACATATAACCCCTAGGCTTGATTATGGTACTGTACTAGGTATTGGATTTGGTTGTCTTTGATATGCCAATCAATTATCCATTGAGGATCATAACCTTGGTATGTTGGGGCAATATGAGAATTCACTTAAGTCGGTGATCATAGTGATAGGATCGGCCCCTTTGATGGACAAAGTGAATGATAGGGCCTCCACTCTCTCTGATAGAAACCTAAACTACTAGTAGTGGATTTCAACTGTATTTGAGATTTGATTTTGTAATATATATATATATATATATGTTTTATGAAAAAATTTTTGCAAAAGGTTTTAATTCTCGGGATACATCCGAGAAGAGAGTCCAGATCCAAATCAGATTTGGATAATCTCCTAATTTGATTAGGAGAAATGCTCCATAAAGAGACAAGAACACCTCTCTATTCTTCTCTCTGTTCTTCTTTTGTCTCACAAGAAACCTTAGTTCGACCACAACTATTTTGGGACTGATAGATATCAATGTTCTTCTGATGTTTACAATAAAAATGAAGAGGAATTTCATGCTTATTTCTCTAATTCGACCCAAGCAGTTGCATTGCAGTTTTGTTGAAAATTGCATTGTTGGACCGGCTTTAGAATACGATGCACCATCTTTAGTGGAGGCTAGTTTTAGGACTAATTTGGGTGTGAATTTTCACATTGGGATCTGCGTTTGTGGCATCTATATCAAGTATACATCTCCCTCTTTGTTTGGTTTCAAATTTGGTCCAGTTTAGTGCAAAATTGATAATGAAAAATGCAATTTTTTGAAACATAGGGAATTCGATTTCCAGAAGGATTATGAAACTTTTGAAAATTCGCCCAGCCATCTAGCATGAAAAATGCAATTTGAGTAGTTAGTAGAACATTCTAAGAAATCAATTCTCAAAATGGGTGAATGATTTGAAATTTTGGTGAATATATTCTAATGCATTATAGAATTGTTCTATTATGGATTCTTGAAATCTTGGGATAAAAGTGTAATGGAGACCAAAATTTTGTTGGCGTCAAGTTTTGTGTACATCGAGTACATTATTTCGATTAGGTGGTCTATAATTAATTTTTTTTCTTTTCTAGAAAGAATGTATTAGGTTTTTTTATGTAAGCAATAGAAATTAGGGTTTTCTATTTTTTTTACATCGAAAAATCACTAGAGTGCGTAGAGAAGACAAAGCTTGTAGATGGAGATCGATCTGAAGATTGCAATTTCGTAGGGATGCAGTTTTTGTCCGTATTGGATTCAAACCATCAAACTATTAACCCTAGCCATTTATTCTATTTGTTTGCTACCTTTTTGTTGTTTTGATTGTGAATCATAACTAAGAATTTCATATCATTACCTATGTGAATTGATGCATGTTTTGGACACCAAACCCTATGCTGATTTGACCTTGTTTTGGTCTAATTTTGTTGGGCCAAACATATGGTTCTTTGGAGTATGACCACAACCACTTGGGTCACGGTTTAAGTGACCCAAAATAGGGTTTAGGCCAAGTGTTTGATGGCCCATTGCATGGACCAGTTTGACCCATACTTGAAAAACCCTTTTACATTAAATTAAAGCAAGACTAGCCCATTTCAACATGGACTTCTATATGGGTCGAATTGCTTTTTACAATTTAGCCCATATACCAAGATAAAATTATTAGATAATTTGGTCCATTGATGGGCTGATCATGTATTAATCTAAATGGATATGAATTTTATAAGTTTTAAATTGATTTGGATCAATTGTATTTGTATTTATGATGTGTTTAATGGATGTGATTCGTTCATGAGCCGTAAGTGCTTGGCCCATGTATTAACTTATAAGACTCTCTAGAACATCATGAATGAATGCACATCATTGTCATAATGCCCATAGGTCATTACATGATCTTCTTTTTCAATGGGCCCCCTAAATAGCTTCCTCCCCAAGAGGAACCTCGTGGGAACCCTATCTCATTAAGGGAACATTTGAATTTGACTTCATGAAAGTCAGTGGAAGCCACTATGGTATTACATAAATCTGACTTAGGGAATAATATACATGTTCCCTCCCGATTAATATAAGTGCAATTTGATAGGGAATATCATAAGATGATTTCTTTAAAAGCCTTCCATCATTAGCATAAAAATGGATTGAATTGGTGGGTGGAGATGCACCATAAAATTGGTTTATCCATTTCACTTAAACAGTCAATGGGATTGTTTCATAAAATGATAGATGCATCATAGACTAGTGGGATGGGTCTATCCTAAAATGGAAGACTCTTCCACGGTACCTTGGGGTTCATGATATGACAGGTTTGCACTTGCTAGACAGAAATATTTAATCTAAAATGGTAATGAACCTTGTTTAATGGAGTCTAAAGGGAAAGTTCATTTGATGAGCAGATATGTGATCTTTCGCAGAAAGTGGTGGGGTTATGCACCTAAAACTGTTAACCCTATACACCTATGTGATTTCCCACATTTCTAGGGACATGAACTGTGTCATCGTCATTGAGATAGGAGGAAAATCTCAGAGATGAGCAAATAGAGATGGAACATAGATAAAATTCCATTCTATGAAAGATAACATGAAATAATATTATGGTCATTGACTACTACTTATTAATGCCTTTTATCAGAAATGGCACACAAACAATTCACTAAATTGTTAGACGACAACAAACTGAAAGGACCCAACTACGTAGATTGGCATCATAAGCTAAATCTAGTGCTCACGTCTGAGAAATTGGACAAGGTTACCAAAAACCCAACACTGGAACATCCAAGTGACTGAGCTTCTAAAGCAATGAGGGAATATTAGGAATGAGAAGAGAAAAATTCTCTTGCACAGTGTTATACCATAGCCTCCTTGGACAATTCTATGTAGAGACAATTTAACAAAATTGATTTCTACAAAGATATCCTGGATAGTCTGAAGACCATGTATGAAGAGCAGAATTGTTCTGCAAGACAAAAGGTCCTCAAACTGTTGATGACCATGAGGATGAGTAAAAGCCAATTAGTTCATGACCATGTCATGCGGATTATAGGTTATATAAATGAATTGGAGGCTCTTGGCTTTCCACTTGACGATGACACCAAGACTGATGTTGTCTTGAACTCTCTATTTTCATCCTTCAATCAATTTGTCATGAAATATAATATGAACAAGTTAAAAGTTAGTTTGTAGGAGCTCAACAATACGTTGCAAAGAGCCAAAGAACTAATCAAGAAGGACAATCCAATAGCTATATTTGTTGAAGGTGGCAAATCTAGCAAGAAGAAAAAGAAGGGTAAGAAGAGGCCTCAGAAAAAGGGAGGCAAATAGAAGAAGAAGAAGAAGAAGAGAGACAAGTCATCAGATGAATGTTACTTCTACAAGCAGACTGGGCACTAAAAGAGGAATTGTCCTCAGTATCTGAAATCCCACAAGAACAAAGGAGGTTGTTTCGAATCTCTTGTCATAGAGACCAATATATTGATCACTTCTGCATCATGGTGTATTGACTCTAGGGCTTCTA